GTGTGTGTGTGTGTGTGTGTGTGTGTGTGTGTGTGTGTGTGTGTGTGTGTGTGTGTGTGTGTGTGTGTGTTTTAGATTTTCCCCACAACAGCCCCAATTCCACCCAGGTGAATAGATTCAGAATCAAAGCAGTCTTTATCCTATTGCAGACAACGAGCGCATTTGAGATGTCCAACATATCAAAGCAATTTTATACTTAGACAGTTTTTTGGTTGTTCTTGGGGTACCCCTTTCATTGTTCTTGCAGCTCCCCTTTTACTGTGCCTCTTACGCGCAAGACTGCCCACGTTGATTGTGTTTGAGCGGCAGCTGCCCGCATCCCCGTGTGCCTCCACGGCCCACTTGCACGTTATTTCAGGAGGCACTGAGGCAGAGTAAAAGAGAAGGTATGCTCCTGTGCATCTCTTCAGAGCTTCATACTCCTGTCCATTTCATTTCAGATCTTCAGCTTATACAGCCTTTGTGTCCATCCTTCATATCTTCATACTTCCGTTCATTTCATTTCTGATCTTCATATCGTCTATACTCTTAAAGATGCTCATTCGTATGTATTTGTTAGTAGTACAAAGGGAGTGAAGGGGAGGGTGGAGGGTAAGGGATAGAAGGCGGAGTTCTCTAGGAGTATGGGGCAGGGGAGGTAGGGGCAACGAGAAGGAAAGAAATATGTGGAGGGCAGCATAGAGTGACATGCAAGAGCAGGGGAAAGCTGTATGACGGGTTTCACAGATTTCTAAATATTCACCGCTGTGAGTGGCCACCCCTACAGACCGGACAGGACCGGTTCGGGTGTGGGCTATGGAAGCACCGCATCCAATTTYCGCAGTCACAGTTGCTGCATCGAATGGCACGGCGCAGACAGATGTCAGAGGCTACGTGGCTCGTACATGCTAGGAACACAGAGGCACGTCGACCGCAATTATAGAGGCATTGCCGTTCCAGCCCCTGTCTACAAATTGGACATGACATGTCGGGGTGCCGTACATGGGTACAGTACTGACTGTCATCGTACGTATGGAAGCAAAAACTCGCATGGACTATACCTTCATAATCCTCACGGCACAAGGCATGTGAACCACATGCTAGTTGAATCTCCGGCRGGTCATCACAAAACAGCATGGAGCATCTTTCTTCGGCTTCCTCAGTATGTATTCCTTCTCTGTGGGCAGACGACGACAGGGAGGATCGGTCCAACACAAGGGCATTCAGCTGCTGCAGGATATGATCCRCAACAGCCCGCCCTGGTGGTGATAAACTATTGAGCACATCGCTCTGTCGGTGGCTCATATAGAAGTCTATTTTCCTCCTCGGACTGCTGTGTTTGCCGTTCGTCTGGCAAGAAAGAGGGAGATCCGTCAGCGGTTGCCGTAGGTGTATGACCAATGCCGCATGTGGGACATGCTAGGAGAGGATGTGGAGGGTGATGGCACCGCGATAGTCCACCCAGTAAAGACACATACTTTCTATGACAGCTTCCTGGAAGCATTGACTACGCATGGCATGTTGCTGACATGTCATTAGTATGGAAGGCTGACGTGCATGGCAGGTCAAGGCCTCAACGGCATGCTGGGCAAGTAATCAGGGGGTGGGGGGGATGATGACAGGACTGGGGATCACAATTTTCGTGTGAGGGGCTAGCAGCGACCATCCCTTCATAGTGTTCGGAGCAGAGGCTACGTCGTGTACATGCCAACTGAACTGTACCTGTGCGACGACACAACAGGAGGGCACAACCATCATCCTGTGGAGAGGTCCTTTCACTGTTTGTGGTAGAATCAGCAGGATTGCTCTCCGGGGGGTGCAGTGCTTGCAAATGCTCATCGACATACTGTTCCTGATGGATGAGCCAGACTGAGTGACCCTCCAGCATTTGGTGATAGAAAGAGTTAATATTTCCCACTGTGTGCACCCTACCGCCATTGTCCCATAGGGTCCATGAACTATCTGCAAAGGTAAGAGCACTGAAGTGACCTGGACGATATAAGATATATGCCCGAATATTCGGATCCATGCCTGGCTCGTGGTTTTGCGAAGCAGGCTGGAATTGCAGTCGCCTACCCATAAATGCCATAGCCAGGACTTCTATGTTCACCCCAGGCGCAGCACTGTCGTCGTCTGGGCAGACGGCACGGTGCTCTTCTTCTATCCAGCGAACAACGTTTGCAAAATCAGCAATAGTATAAGGATTACAATTGTAAGCAAGGAGACATACATTAATGGCATAGTACGCACAGCGCCCTCGCTGTAGCGCTATGACATTGTCTGATTCCGCAGGTTGCGTGAGGGATCCGTTTATGGCAGAGGGGTCCTCGTTCAATTCAGAAGGTTGCCCAGGTGGCCGAGACTCGTCGTGGTCTAAACCAATTGGCTCTAGTATGTGCTCCGAAGAGAGATGATCTTCAACCGGGGGCTCCGTCAGGTAATCAGGAGACAGGCCATTGTCATTTGGGGCAGGGGAGCGAGTGGGGCTAGGTGGATGAGAGAGGGCCGGGTCAGGTGGGTGAGAACTGGGTGGACCAGATGTGGGAATCCGAAGCTGATCAGCCACACTTGTGCATAGGGCGGCTGCTAGTCGTGCAAACGCTGCGCAAGTAGCTGCACCTCGTGTCTGGTGCACTCGTAAGCCTACAGCACTGGAGAAATCATCACCGCATTGCGGGCATCTGACTCGATGTGCACTATTCCTTGATAGTGTATACTGAAAGCGACGATGCCGTTCCGTACTGTTGCGAGCATGTCGTCGGAGCAAATCTCTAACCCCTGCAGGGGGGGCGGTGATCATGCCATTCAACGACAAACGAGGCCGTTGTCTTGGAGGCTGTTGTGGAGACAGGGAATGTCTCCGCCGAAGAGGCATCTGTAATGATCGATCTAACAACGGATACCTCGGCCAACAGGGCCTTTGTGACGACCGATCTAACCATGAGTGCGTTGATGATGAAGAGGTCGATGATGAGGAAGTAGAGGAAGAAGTAGGGGAAGAGGAAGAAGATGATGATGATGCAGATGACTGAGAGGATGCTGCAACAGAGGACGTCGGTGGGGGTGGCGGTGATGATGGCGGTGACGGTGCTGATAATGATGGCAGTGGTGGTGGTGGTGGTGGTGGTGGTGGTGGAGGCGGCGGTGGCAGCAGTGGAAGAGGAGGTGGTGTACCTTCAGCAGCAGCAGCAACAACAACAATCGTTGTATTGGTAGGATGCTGGCCTTCATCCCTTACTGCCATTTCGGTAACGTTCACATTGTTTACTACGGCTGGCATGATCTCTGGCTGAGTTGGCGTATGAACGTTAGCGTCTGCCATTTCAGCATGGATAACAGGGGGGGGCGGGCGGTCTGCATTTGATTGTGCGGAGGGCTGATGCTGGCTGCGGTCAACATTGGTGTCAGGTGATGAGTGGTGGTCTCTTGTGTGCGGATGGGTGGAGAACCTGCGCACGCTTTCGGGAATGGGTGAGAGATTGCCCAGCGAACCATTCGGCGAAACCAGTTCGAAAGTCGTGTGACATGAGTTGGTAGCCGGCGTTGTCGGCCACGCACATATGCAGTCCACCCTCTAGCCAGGACACTGGGAGGATGGCCCCTAACAAGCATACGTCGTGTCAGGGAAGTCACTGTCGCCTTGAAGTCGGTAATATTGTTACATATATGTTCGAATCTCGTTAGTTGTCCTATGAGCACACCTGCAGGCTGATGAGCCAGAGCGTTGGAGGAAGCACTGGGATAACATATGACAGGGAACGTCAAGTTCTCGACCTTATCAAATATGCCAATGCGAAGTGAGCCATCA